ATACCATTTTCAACTTTTGAGACATTAAATAACAAGAATTTATCTTTCCTATCATTTTTTGAATATTTTTGTTTGATCTTACAATTTTTATTTTTATTATTTTCCAACAATCTTAGGTGCATCGGCGTGAAGGAGAGAATTATTTATCGTTAATAATGAGTATTAACAACTAACAAAATTTTCACTAATTAAAACTAAAATAATATTAAGCACTTACTCCGGCAAGAAAAAAAGGGTTAAATGTCACATCTTGTTAACTTTTATACCAATATGTCATTGTTTGTTAACTTTTATACCAATTTGTCGTCGGTACTAATTTTTATACCAATATGTCGCCAAGGTGCTATACCAATATGGTCAATTGGCCATAATTGATGCTTCAATTTCATTAATTAAATTGATAATCTGTCTTTAAATTTGAATATTATTCTTTCTAGAAATGAACATTTACTATAACTTAAATTTACTATATAAAATACACCAAACAACCGTTTTAAATAACAATTGAACATGAATCCCACCTAAGATGAACATATACGATAGATTACATTTCATAGCCAAAATTCATCGAATAAAAAATTTAAATTAATGAAATAAGCGATACTGGTATTAATTAAGAATTGATGTTTTGATTCTATAATCAAATTGATAATTTATCATTAGTTTCAGTTATTACAATGTGAACATTAATAATTCTACAAATGAATATTTATAACAGATTAAATTTACACGAAATTTATATGCATGAGCAACTACAAACTACAGTATTAAAATGTGATTGGACATGTATTCATATGAGAATGAGTATATAATGAAATTCAAAATTGAAATAAATTACTGTTGATGTGTTTTTTTACCATGTATCCAAATGAGTATGAATATATATCAAAATTTAATGGATATTTCAAGATACTTATATTCCTTAGAATTAAAGAAAAGAATTGAAGAAGTATATAAAAATCAACTTTTATAGAAAATATAATGATAATCTATTATATGTAAATAACCATATATTTTTATATCATAAATGAACATCTATTAATAGGAAAGTGAACAACTATCAAAATAAGAAGGATTATTTTATCAAAAGACCATTCGTAACATTCCTACGAAATAACAAAAAATTACAGCAACTGTATATTATTTTCAACTTATTCTGTCCAATAATCTTATAATATGAGAACACAACATAATTTAACTCTACAAAATGCTAGAAAATTTCAAACTCTAACATAATTCAACCATGATTATATCACTTCTTACCAATATTTTTAGACCTAAAAAAAAGAAAAAAATAAAATAAAATAAAGTATATCAGACATCAATATAATTTAACTAACATTTTAAGATTTCCTTTTATGCTTTGGTCTGACAATCAATTTGGGAAACAAAAAAAAAATTACGGTAATGTAATCGACATTTACAATTATATTAAATTGTTGAATTGGAAAAAGAAGAGAGAAATAAGTGCCTCATCAATGAATTTGCGTCGAAGATGAAGTTTTGGTAAGTGGTGACGTGAATAGTTTATGATGAAACTCTTATGAGGAAAAATTGAAGGTTTTTAGAAAGAGATTATTGAGAGGATGGAGGTTTTAGGAATAGAAAATAGAGATGAAGGAGATTTTTGGAGAGAGAAAATGGAGGATGTAATTTTTTAAACGGTAAGATGAAGGTGGTGATGATGTATAATCTGATTTTTTTTTATTATTAACTTTATTTGGTAGGTGGGTGGATGGGACCATGAGGGTGTAGGTATATTAACCTACACTTGGGTTTAAGGATATATAATTAGTTATGGCCAAAATACTAAACCAAGCCTAAACCGGACCCTAGGTCTACCTTACCTACGACCCAATAATCATGTGAGAGTCCAAAAGATGGACACTGTCGCGCCGCGATAAGCTTGTCGCCCCGTGATGAAAGAGATTTATTTCGATTCAAATTCTGATCTTTTCTGATTGCTTCGGCTCTCTTTTTTCCCTATAAATAGAGGTCGTTTTCCCCATTTTTAAAATCAGCTAGAACCATCAACAATTAGCTATAACCACCTAGCTCCAATCATCATCAAAATCAATCATCCATGTTATTAGCCTAAAAACATCCTTGATACATCTAAATTATCCACAATACCTCCTTCGCGAGATTCGAATACTCTCTAAACCATACTCAACGTTGCCTTCGACCTCGACGTGAAAGGTTGATAGTTCTGAGAGTTTGATCCCAAATCTATATTGATAATTGTGAAGGTTCTCTAAACCAATTGTGATTGTGAAGGGTTTACAAGTTCCTAAAACTTGTTGGCGACTCTTTTTCTCTAGCTTCTAATCCTTTGAGCGCCGCCATGCTTAAAAACATGAACCACAATAGGGCTTAAAGATGAGTTTGACAAATTCCCTACAAATACATAGCGAAATCCCTTTATAATCTGGTTAATTTATGCATTGATTGTTGTTTTTCATCCCGGAATATTATTTATTAGTGAACCTATGCCCTAGAGTTTAGTTTATTGATATTCTTATATTTTTAATTTCTTTAGTTTAATTATTTCTTGTAGTATAATTCATATAAAATCACAATTGGTTACCTGATAATTTAGATAATATTAATTTATTAGTAATAAAAGAACGTTGTTTCCCTGTGGATTCGACCCTACTTCACTATTTGCTTCAGTTAGAGGACTTAGGAATCACTTTTGATTAGGTAATACGACTTTAGCCTGTCAAAATCTAGCGTCGTTGCTGGGGAAACGGTTTTATTTTTATTTCTGATTATTTTTGTAGTCTAGATTATTTTCTGTAGTCTTAAAGAGCGCAAGTTCTTTAGGACAGTTTCTCACATTTGTTTGTTCAGTTCTGTGTTTATGCCCAGGGGTTCTAGATCAGGTTACATTTCATTTGATCCTGAGATCAAACGCTCTTTTCATAGATAGAAGAACCTCTACAGACAAGTATAAACAGGTTCTGGCGGCAACATACCTTTGTACCCTCCATATGATTATAGCGATACAGATTCATTTACAGATCAAGAATCAGACATGAATCCACCACCACCACCTCTAGGACGCAAGCTCAGCGATTATTTGCAACCATCCTTGACAGATCTCCTACACCTTGCTCCTCCACCGAATCTTGAAGGAGTGCAATTTGAGATCAAACCTCGGTTTATTAGTATGATCGAGAGGAAACAAATTGGCGGAACTAAGAATAATGATCATAATCTTCATATTTTGGATTTTTACTAATATTGCAACACCATTAGACAAGCTGGGGTCACACAGGACCAAATCAGAGAGATTATTTTTCCTTTTTCTTTGTGTCGTAAAGCTAAATTATGGTATAATGTATTGAATAAAACTTCACTTGGTATTACTGACTGAAACTCTCTTGCTTTAAATTTCTATAATAAGTATTATCCTCCAGAGAAGATCGCTTTATTACGAAGCTCACTCCATAATTTTTCCCAAGATGCTGACGAATCTTTATATGAAACTTGGGAAAAGTTTAAGGATATGCAGAGAGAATGCCCCATAGTGGCAGTTGATCCAATCCTTCGACAACGGGCATGGAAATAATTCAAGAATAATTTTGCATTCTACAGCTAACGGAAGGTTCATGAATTCGAATAAAAGCGTAGCAAGCAAAGTTGTCGAAGACATGGCTATTCATAATTCCCAATATAGGAATCCTAGAGGATTAGGCAATAAGGGCAAACATAATTTCGACTCTGTATCCTTTTTGCTAGCTCAACCGACTGCTATTAGCCAAAAATTAGACAATCTTACTACTTCTAATTCATCTTCCGTTGTCAATGTTTCTGCTATTAATAATACTAATTCTAACGCTTTTTTTGCAAATTGTGGAATTGTAGGTAATTGGGCACAAGATTGTAGGAATTTTGTGGAGCAAGTTAATGCCTTTGAAGCTTATAGGAAAAATAACCCATACTCAAACACTTATAATCCTGGCCTCCGAAACCACCCAAACCTTTCCTACCGGAGTACTAATGTGCTAAACCCTTACCTCCACAACCACAACAACAAACTCTAGCTCCACCTACCGATCCTGCCCTAGCCGAAATTAAAACGATATTAGCCAACATGCAGAAGCAGATTTAGAGTAAGGATGCGCAAATTGATTTTTTGATTGCTCATAATAAAATTACAGACAATCAAATTGTGCAGATTTCCTCTACTCTACAAACCAGGCAACAGGGAGCCATTCCATCGCAGCCAGTACAACCTACAGATCACGCAAACGCCATCACATTAAGGAGTGGTTAAAATTATGATGGGCCTTCTATGCCCAAAGATGAGGAACCTATCGTTCCTAATACTATTATTCCAAATATTGTTGTACTAATAATGTAGGGGCCCAGGGAAAAACTAACACTAATAGAAAAATGGACATTCGCTTCGGGTTTTTTTGGGGTATTTGCTACGGTCTTGAAACGTAACACTAGTGGGCGTAGTGAATAAGGTAATCAATTCGCTACGGTTTAGAAGCGTAGCGTTTTTCAACATTTTGTTACGGTTTTTTCAGCAGAACCGTAGCGTTTTCCTTACGTTTTAATTTTTTTTAATTAAAACATCATTAGCCTGCATTTTTTTCTGTAAATATTTGTACAATCCAATGAGAAGGATGAGAAGGAATTTTGTAAAATGCACATTCAGCACAAAAATTATGCACATTCGTTTTTTTACTTTCATTTTCCTCTTCACCGAAACATTTTCTTTCTCCCTCTTCCATTAAAGCTTATTCAAAGTTCTAACTTCTAATTTTAGAGATGATAAAGTAATTATGATTATGAGCAAATTGCAAACTTAGTAATAAGGATCGGATTTCTTAGCTTCGCTACTTTAGGTGAGTTCTTATGTCAATTACACTCCCGAACTCGTATCGTTATTAAAAGATGAATTATGGAAATCATCAGCAATTGGCCGGACTTTAAATCATAAATAGACATACCTTAATCATTTATAGATTGAATATTCAACAATATGTGCTTTTGATAAGAATATGCATATTTAGTATAGAGGATTTGCAAATTTCTGCTAATAAATTTGCACATAATTTGTAAATTATATATGCACATTTTGTACATATAAAATGCAAATATAGCATAAAAGTTATGCATATTTAATCTTCACTCTTTGATATATTCCCCTGTTTCCATATATTTTCAACGACATATTGATCATAGTCATGATTCTTTTTTTTTTTTTTTTTTTTTTTTTTTTTTTTTTTTTGAAAACTGAGAGAAAAAAAAAGGGTGGGAGAAGAGATAGTTAGAGAGGAGCGAAAGGGAGAGGAACAGGGAGGAGAGAGAGAAATGGGGAAAATTTCATAAGTTATTGAATCTACTTTTGAACTCTACGAAAAAAATAATGGGGATAAGTGATGAAGAGGGAGGAAAGAGAGGAAGATGACTAGAGGAATTTGAGGAGGAGAGAGAAATAGAGAAAATTATTATTTACAATTTTGCCATTAATGAAGCTTATAATGAGAGCCATTAGATCATCTTTTTTGAACTTATGAGATTACTTCTCATTATAAAGTCTTTCTCATTTGACCCTATATATATGTATATATGTAGGACCAAGTTATAATGAGAACCAATCTTATAATAGGAACTAGGAACTCAGGAGGACCGTCAGATCTAACAAGAAACACGCCTTAATGAACGGCCAAGATCTATACTGAAGCGCGATCGTGAATTTTCTGTCTCCTTCACCACTTTCTTTCTCCTCAAGCTTTCTCTCTCCTCAAACGCTCTCTCGATCTCCTCTGCAAACTGGATCATTCACCGCCATTAATCTCTCTCCTCCAGCACTATTTCTCTGCTCCACGAACTGGAAAACCTCCATTAATTGCAGAATCGATGTCTAAAAAGGTATGTCGTTTGAATTTTTCTTGATTTTTTTTTTAATTATTTTTAATGAATTTAGAGTTCGAATTTTGCGAACTCCATTGATTTTGTAATATGATTTTAGGTAAAATTAAGAAGTTATTCAACAACTCGATGCGAATTAAATTTTATGAGTATTTATTTTAATTAACCTGATTTTTATTATATTTTGGATCTCAAATTTGTGCTAATTGGTGCGAACAAATTGTTGAGCGAATTTTTGCACGATATTTTGGCTTCAAATAGTATTTCTTTTAATTATAATTTTAGTTATTTTGTTTTTACAGAATTTTAGAGTATATGATAATGTGCGATAAGAATTTTCTATAGTATAGGTTTTGTGTGTGTTGATGATTATTCAAAATTGCTTGCTTTAATTTATTGTAATGTTTATAAAAGTATATAGAAAACTAGTAAAAGTAATTCAATTTGGCTTAGAGAATTAAATTTTCATACAATATGAACATGCTGAAATTGTTAAATTCTTGGCAATGTTCTTATATACTGAATCTGGAATATTGACTTATTGTTAGTATTACGATGAATGAAAGCAAGTAAATCCTACAAAGCTAGGTTGGAGGAAGTCCCAAGGTTATAATTTATATCAATTACTGTTAGTTTAAGTCTTATAATATAGCAGAATTTGCAAACGTAGTCCGTAGATACAAAATACTTAAAAGTAAATCCAAATATTCCAAAAGTAATTTGCCTGAGCTACCTAGTCTTACCGCAACTCTATTGTTCATCAGGCTCTATGGCAGAATGCGATGGTGGGTGTCATGGGTTTTTTTAAGCTCGTGGAAGACTTCAAACTCTATGCATCTGCTATCTCAGGGGGAGCTGGGTCTGTTCAGGTGAGTACAGGGGAGAGATTGGTTTTATCTCGTGAGAAATGGGTGCACCCGGTGATGGGCGGGTAAACACAAATGCTGCAGTTATGGAGGGGATTGGCGTGGGGCTGGGGGTCTGCATTCGAGATTTGGAGGGGAAGCTCTTGCTGTGGCAGATCCGCTGTTGAATCTGTGAAGCTCGCTGAGGCTCTAGCAGCAAGGATGAGAGTGAGGCTTGCTAAGAGGCTTGGATTTAAAGACATTGAGCTAAAATTTGATGCTCTTGAAATTGTCAAGCTATATGGTCGGAGACCCCTGGCAGAACCCCAACAGAGATAGTGATTGAAGATATTAGATATATGTGATTTGAAGAATCCTGGCAGATGCTGCAAAATCCCTTGTGAGTCTCTTCCTTCTTGCTTCATCATTTTCATTATTCTTATTAATATCGATCATTATGCTTATGCCATACTTTATGATATTTATATGCATGATTCAAGAAGTATATGAATGAAATTGGACTGAGTTATATGATTTGATTTGATTTAATGACAAGAGAAATAGGAGACCAAGTGTTCAATCAAAAGAATAACACGGTGACAATCACCGTGGTTTGCTGCAGTCCTAAGATGATCAGAAACAAGCTTTGCTGCAAAGCTGGCAAATCCATTAAGAGCATCGAGATCAAGCCTCCATCCAAGCCTGCTCCTCCCTCAACTGCCCAACCCGACAAACCTAAGCCTGCTCTTGCTCTGGCTCCTGCTCCAGCACGCGAGCCTCAAAAACCTTAGTCCGCTCCTACTCCAGCACCTAAGCCTGAAAAGCCTAAGCCATCTATTTCAGACATGGTAATAACATAACAACTCTATATCCAGCTCTAAAAGATGATCCTACATAAAAATACAGAAGATGAATAAGGTAATTCCTACATCAATTATCTCTAAAGTAAAAGTAAATTAAATCTAATCTAAAGTAAATAAAAAAGACCTTAAAGTAAACCTATTAGCTCAAGTGGTAGAGCACTATGTGGATGCATAGAGGTGTAGGTTCGATTCCTACATATGTTATCTTAAAAAGTAATTATAAAACACTCTAAAGTTATTCAAAATACATCAAAAGTAAATCAAAATATCCCAAAAGTAAGTAGAAAAACTAAAAACGTAAATTAATATATCTCTAAAGTAAATCAAAATAACTATTAAAAGAAATCAAAAGTTGAGCAAAATATGTCAGAAGTAAATCATAATTACTCTAAAGTAAATAAATAATGTTAAAAAGTAAATCAAAACATTATTGAAGTAAATCAAATTAGCTCTAAAGTATACGAATAATAAATTATATTGAAATGATAAATGACTAAGGAAACTTTGTTATAGCACATAAACTCCAAGTCATTTGACTTTCATATCCTTACAAAATGAGTCAAATTTTAAGAAACAAATATATTGAGTTCGATGTAGAGGTTTCAAATTAAAAGTAAATAAAACTATATCTAAAGTAAACAAAAAAAAGGAATATGATCAAAAGCAAATAACTAAACTTTATTACGAATTTTAATCTTTAGATTACACAAACCTACGTGGGATTTGAACCTATATCTTTTGTGCAATTGCACAATGCTCTACCAATTGAGCTAGTAGGCTAATATATATTTAACATTTAAAAAAAAAAATCAAAAGTAAATCAAATCATCTATACAGTATACGTAGTAAACTCATGAGGGGTTAGAAACTCTATATCATTTCAAGCAACTCAATTTAATAGATTAATAGACCTATAAGTAAAAATTCCCTATCACCAATGATGCAGCAAGGTAGGGCAAACAATAAATAAAGGTAACAGACAACAAACCAAACATCAAGTAACAGGACCACAACAGATCCATATTAATTCTACAAGGTAATAGCCAACCCTCTATTGCTTTACTTCATCAAACTCTCGATCCTTACGGAATCAACCTTACCATTAATATGCATTAATATGCTTATGGGTGAAGTTTGGAAGTTACAAAGGATGCTTTGATCTCATAATGGTCATAGGTTGAGAATTGAGCTATGCCAGATGGATTAAGTCTACCACGTTACTAAGAACATCATGCATTGGTTGTACATCTGAATCATGCTTCGGGAGAAACTTTCTCCACCAACAAAGAATAGGTGATGTCCTTGTTGAAATGCTAATTGCCTCTTTACTCTCACTAATTAAATCCTTACTTAATTTACTTATATTATAGGCCATTATATAATATGAATATTAAAAGGATGCATGTATGAAAGTGACCATCAGTTTATCATTTTTCAGATCTGGTTGGAACCATTCAATCCAAGCCTTTTTTCGCTTTCTGTTTGAGGGATGAGATCAACAACCAAAAAGCTCATGTCAGTAGATACTATTTAGATGTTGCACATTGAGGATAGAGACTCATTTGTCAACATTTAAAACCAATCAAACAAGCAGACTAGAGATGACAAATGAATGCAATAAGGCTAGACATATTCACGATAGATTGACTTATTTGTGTGTAAGAACGAGTTTAGAGACCAATTAAAAACGAATGATTGGTCAAAGACTAGGAAAAAAACAAAAAAAAAACATAGGAGTTCTAAAACAGGAAAGTCTAAGTTCCTCCTAATAATACATTCCAAATCCCTACAAGGGTTAAGGACTATGCTTTCCACTATCAAATAAAAATAGCAAGCGAATTGTTACAAGAATTACCAAAAATTAATCATTATCAACTAAAAAAGTAAGTAATATCAGCACAAAATTAAATAATATAAGCACAACAGTAAATAATATAATCGAATTGGGCTCGTAAAACTGTGTTTAATGTGCACGGTAATCCTCACATTGATCGCCTTTACAAGAACCACAACAGTGAGGGCAGTGACCTTCAACAAAACCACTATTTATCAAATGAAATCAAAACCATTACTTCAAACAAGGGCCTCTATGCTAAACCTTCACTACTCCCACATTATCTCTAAAACAAAGCCTCAAACCTCTTATGACATATTCAAGTTCCAAAGAACAAGTTCAAGCCAGGAATAAGCATTTTCAGCATTCAAACAATTTAAAAATTATATGCCAAAGGCAAATCAAAGATATTTAAAATATGGCACAACTATAATTCTGGATTAATTGAAGCATAACATAATTATCTGATATATTATTATTATTATTGAAATTCGATTAGAAAGAGTAAATAATTGAAAAATAAGATTACACGGAACTTATGACATAGTCGCAGCTTCCCATATCTTATTAACTTAATAAGCCCCAGACAAAGCCTTTAATTCCAATAAATAGAAATGAAACAAGCAAATTGAAATCACAAAACCGTTATTTAGCAAATGAAATCTTAAATAAACAAACATATAATTGTAAAAATGTAAATCACACCAAAAAAAAAAAAAAAAAAACCCTAATTCAAGCAAACAAGTGGAAAACCTCAATCGAACCAACAATGAAAACACAAAGAATCAGGAAAAAAAACCTTTCAAATTCCTAATTCGAAGTTCTTCGGTTCAACCATGGAAATTCTTGGCTCAGATTTAAGACGCAAGGGGATCGGAGAATTGCTGTTGTTTTCTTGGTAGAACAAAAGGGCGAGCAATGAATTGGAAGAATACAAAAACCAATCATTTTTCTTTTAAAACTAAATACTTTAAATTTACCAAAATGCCATTACTGAAGCAAAAACGCGGATGACATCTCAACCGTCAAATCAAATGCAATCAAAGGATCAGATTGGTTCCTAGTTCCTATTATTCACCTTGGTTCTCACATGATCTCAATTCTATATATATATATATATATATATATATATATATATATATATATATATATATATATATATATATAAATGTGCATTTCAAAGTACAATAAACAAAACATGTATCTTTATTTTATTTTTTTTTTGACAAGAAAAAAGGATTTCATTAATAAAATATAGTTAAACGGCACTTACACATAATTCCTAAGAAATCAAGAATTTCAACACAACTACACACCTTAAAACTAAATACATTGTAGATTTGATTATCAATCCCCTTAATAAAAAACTTCATCTGAAGTAATAAAATATGTAAGTTCGCACTGATTCGGCTTGAAATCCACTGATGCGTAGTTGTTTGAGTGAAAATACTCATTTGGTCTTTCGGACTCTTGTAGAGATTATGAAACCCTAGATCTTCAATTTTTGCCATACAAACAATAAAAGAAAATAAAATCAAGAGAAAAATCATCTCAAGGATGATATTTATTTATTGAAAGCAATTAAAAGGTTTTTTTTGGGGCTTATCACCGGTAAGAACACCAGGGGAATCCCCTATAAAGATTCACAACCGAGACCAAGAGGAAAGAGATGGTAGAGATGGAAGAAAAAGGGAGAAAAGAGAAGGAAAACCTTCAAAAAAAAAATTTAAAAAAACCTAGCAATGGAGGCTAGGAAAACCCTCCCAAAGGAGAAACCCTAGAGGAAACAAAAAAACCCTCCCAAGGAGAAAACCTAGAGGGAACAAGTTGTAAACAAAACATGTATCAAGTATAATTCTAATCTAAATTCCAAACTAAACTATAATCGACACATGAATTTCAACAAAGTATCGGTCAAAAATTGAGCCGTCTTGGAAACCTAAAATAAGACAAATTATAAGAGAGGTATATTATAAATTAATAAAAAATAAAGGCATGGAAATTTATAGCGTATAATTAAACTCATAACTAATAAGTACTTAAGGCATAGTTTGAGTGTACTTTATTCATATACATTAAAACATAGATGTACTCTTAAAATTAGGTAACTTCGAATATTTATGGCATTACAAGTCATAGAAACACATAACTAAGCACCGTAGAAATGATTTAAGTGTCATTTTACTCATTCCCATTAAAGCGTGGCATTCGGGCAAATTTGAAGTCATTTTGCCTATCTATAGTCTACTTTGATCTCAATAAGTCAAAAAACTAAGTAAATTGGCTTATTAATGGTATTTAAAGACATAGACACTTATAACTAGGTACTTTAGACATGATATGAGTGCTATGTTACTTATTTACTTACACACATGGGAAATGGACATGTTACAAGTCTTCCTTGCTCATTTTGGGACCATTACGGTCATGTTTAGTCCCAAAACTAAGTAAAGTGGTAAATTAGTGATATTATTGGTCCTAGATATTCATAACTAAGTAATTTAGACATAATATGAGTGTTATTTTGTGCGTTTACTTAAAAATATGGAATTGGGCAAAGCAAGAGTCATATTATTCATTATGGAACTGGCTATGTACTATGTTGAGAGCTAAGAGTACCAAATGGGTTCATCCCATCCGTACAAAGTCCTAGCCTTACATTTCGGCTTTCATCACCGAATGTCTTCTGCAGCATGTCAATAC